AAATCTAATCTAAATCTCTACAATAATTCGATTCACTCTGTTACCAAATTTACACCTTTTAAAGTCATTAAAGATCACATAAATAACCCCGATCCATTTGAACTAGACGACCACTTAGTAATTTCTCACTTTGTTCAAAATCACAAAGAAATCAGTAAACAATTGTACGAAAAATCAAAGAACGAAATGAAAAAACTGAAGAAAAAATAATAAATAAATTAAATACAAAAAGATCCGATCCACCGGACTATTCAAAACAAAAAATTGTTTACGTTAAAACTAAATTTAAAGCTACTAAATTAATCAAAAATAAAAATGTCTTAATTAAAACTAATAAAGGAACTTATCATAAAAGTATTGCACGAAAACCAAAAAGTATGATCTACCTGGTCCTTCAGGTACATCAAATGACCTATAATGGAGAAAATATACAAATTACTAAATTAGAAAACCTGCTTCTTCCTATCCAATTAGGAAATGCTAGATTAGTATATAGTAAACATACCTTTTTATACTATGTAGATGTAAGTACCCTTGTTAAACAAATATTTAATTAATATTATTCAGAAAAAATGTAATAATTTAAATCCACATATCCGTAATAAAAGAGGCCTAATTAATGGCATTGGAAAATTAAATAAATGGCTCTTTGGAAATCTAGATTCGGACGATGAAAACGAATATAACGCAGCTATCAGTTTATTACAAAAGAATCAGAAAAATTTAATTGGCGAAACTAATTTAGAAATTTCACTCTATAAAAAACTTATAGACCATTACAATAAATCAATTACCATTTTGAGTAAAAATCAAGAAAAGTTTAATAATAATGATTTAGAGAAATTTTCATCATCGGTTTACAATAAAATAGAAACTCTCGAAAGTTATTTAAGATTTCAAAAATATAACATTTATCGATAATTTAGAAAACGCTATTGTATTCTCTAAACTTAACTCTTTGCATAGCTCAATAGTTTCTAGTTCAGAAATAATAGATATGATAAATCACTTACATGTAGGTAATATACGATAAAAGTCAAATTCCTAAATTCAAAAATATTTTAACTTTTTTATTACGAACTCAAGTATCAATATTCGATTCAAAATTAATTTTTGCAGTTCATATTCCTATTTTTAACCCCGAAAATTTTGAATTTTATCATTTGTATCCAATAATTCAATATCACAAAATATATACTCCCATTTTCCCCTATTTGGCACGAGAACAAAAAGAAACTCAAATCGAAAAAGAGGAATGCCCATCACTAGAAAATTGTTACTACTGTCAACAAAATTTCATTCCAAAGGACAACTGCACCCCTTAATTTACTAGGAGGTCATATCCCTCAAAATTGCCAAATATTAAAGGAAATGATCGTTTAACAAGTTACCACAGGCGAAGTCCTGATAATACAAAGCGCAACAAATCAAAATCCCGAAAACCTGCAAAAGTGCAAAATATGGGCCAATGAACAGAAGTACATTAACGACATTCAACTTACCCATTTATTTTGCCAAAATTTCAAACAGATCGCATACACACATCCGGACATTATCAAAGATCTAATATTACCAAAATTGATTTTGATAGTCTGTACGATATCAACGAAATCTCTAGAAAACTAAAACCGATTCAAGATAGCTCAAATACCCAAATGGATAGGCACACCTATATTTGGAACAATTTTGGGACTTTTAATTAATTACCGGCCTAATCGTTGCAGTTATAGTAAAATTCAAGAACAAAATTCCAAAATGTAGAAAAAAGCAAATTGAAAAAAAAAACAGAAGAAATTTTGATGGAAACCCATTCGAAAAGTCATTCCGTTATTTTCGAAACTTAAGGATAGAGGAGTTATGTGTTGCTAAAATAGCTATCTAGACAATAAACAACTTTCTGTAAATAACTTTATTTATCATACTTTTATAAATTTTCCTAGGGATAAACAATAGGTGTGGATTAAACATAGAAATAGCATAGAAAGCCGATTCCATATATCAAAAATGAAACCATAAGGAGAAAATAGTGTGTCGGAGCTCATGCGTATAACGGTGCTGGCGCGAACAGGACCGGTGCAAGTTTTTTATTGATCGAACAAATAGTTCACACATTTCAATCATACATTTTTAGAGATGATTCTATACAAAAAACGATTAAAAAAATTTCAAGTTAAGGTAAATATGGTTCTGACAGTCCTTATTAAGAAAGATATGGCATAAAATATGAATTAGTTAATTTTCGGCAATCATTAGTACAGTAGTCATGAGATTTTGCTTGTGATTTTAAAAATACTTTTCAGAAAAACCACGTGCTCCGGTTTTGACTACGTTTATTATTAAACAGCGAAATTATATACAAAAACTTTAATCCACAATCTAAATTAGGTACTATCACAAGAAAATCACTGTTACAATAATTAATTACTTAACCAAAAACTAAAATACTTTTTAGGTACCTACGTAACCAGAAAGGAGCTGGACCATTTATCCTAATATTGATTTTCTCTCTCCCTACGGTAAAACTTAAAACAATAACAAATTGCCTATCTACTAGGGTCGGTAACTAAACGAATATACATAATGGGCGGATTTTGTTTATACTTAACATTACACTCGCGCATTTAAATTTAACTATGCATATAAATATTTACAAACAAAGATACTTTTCCAAACAGACAATCATTAGTACTGTAGTCACGAGGTTTTGCTTGTGATTTGACATCTTATTTGATAATATCATTTGCAACAACTAAATTTAATCTGGGGAGTGCAAAATAGGGCCCAGGAATATTATGTTCGATATTTTTCTACATTTTGTCAGCCGAGACTATGAGTCGTTAGACAGAAAACCTTTCATGTTACCATTTTCAATATAAATTAAAAAATTAAAAAATACTACTACATTTAATTGGTACATATTTTATTTTAATTTTGAACCCTTTTAAAAGGGTCTTTCGGTTCCATAATAAAAATTAGTTGCTGCTTACTAGAAACATTCTATATAGCCTAAACCAATTTATAGTTTGTTTTCGATCAATTTAATACAAAGATTTAAAGTTTTTAGTCGATGATAACATTCCACACCTGCACATTGCAAACCTATTTTATAAATAATAGGAATAAACTTGTAAATCATTAATTTGGTAGTTATCTCACTCATATGATTTTTTTGTTTATATGACTATTTCGATTTCTAAATATATTTTGGCCTTACAATACGAAGCGTTTTGTATCTACCACTTTTTTAATGAATGTTGACAGGCGTGTACCTTTTTCGGAACAAGAGGCGTTTTAACGAAGGAAATGATTTTCGAACTATCTAGTTAGTTTTCGGAAAAATAGAAAACGTTTGAAGAAAGTTGTCAATAACAGTTTGTCGTTCATGTGTTTCATTTTGATTAGCTTTCATACTAAATTGCGTAGAATATTTTTCCGATTCAAAATCGAGATTCTCGATATTTCCACAGTTTATTTATAATACCTTCTAAACTGGATTTATCTATCATTTTATATACTTTATAATATATGTTCATGCCCTACTTTTCACTTTATTAACAATTTTTTTTAACATACTTCAAAATGGTAGGATATTCTTAATTCGTTGAAATATTTTTTTAAGTACGTTGAGCGATAATTCTTTACCACGTTGCCCGATTTCTAGGATTCTTTTTGTTAGAAAAGGAAACAGTTTTATATACATTAAGTCAAGATCTGAAGATGGGATCCATAAGAAAATCATTAACATCTTTATTTTTAAAGTAGGTTTTTTTTTAAATTTCTTTAAACCTTACTGGTTCGAACGCGGTAAGGAATAAAGAAATGTAAATAATTGTTGTGCCAGCCAAAAAGCGAAGAGGAAGTACCGATTAAAATATCGAGTGACAGAAGAGTTCCTAAGATTGTTGAGATCGGGTTTATGTTTTAAAATGCCTTAAAACCGATATCGATAATGTCTCCCCGTCGCTGGGCAGCCTGTATATAAATATACAGCTCTCTATTTACATAATTATAATTCTTAGGTAGGTTTAGATTTGCAGACATAAATCTTGTAATAAATATAACAGCTGCCTAATACATTGATTACATTTTCATTAGCCAATGTAAAAATGTCTTTTAGTGTACCTAGGATTTGACTAAACACTACACAAAACTAAAAATAAAATGCCACTTTCATCATGTAATTAATGCCGCGTTTGAGAATCCACATCGGATGCATTTTTTACATCTCTAGCGTTTTTTATCCACATCGGACACATCTGTCCCATTACATTTACGTATACTGAATCACGTGATCAAAGATTTACTACTACTACTACATCTCAGATGCATCCGATGTGGATTCTCAAACGCGGCATAAATAATAAACTACAAACGGTCCTGTAAGGGCAGCGTCATATAGCCTTGAAACACCGGATTTTAGTGCTATTGCCAGGTCAATATTGAATTTGTAGGTGAATCGCTTATTGAACATTAAAAATACGGTATTAATGACATTAATACGGTATTTGTATATATTTTTGGGAATGTAATTACACATAAATATTATTAGTTGATTATTTAAATGTTTATAAGTTATTTTGTGGCGATATTTCGTAGATATAAACTGTTTAAATCATATAATTTAAAAATTAATTAATTTAAAATTCTTTTCTGTTAGGTATGTTTAATATATTTGGCAACACTACAGGGACAAGTCATGCATATTGCGCAAGCTTCTAGACACACTATTTTGCGATGTCAGGCGCAGAGACGCGTTTTTATGCACAGTAGGTTTCAATTTCTGCTTAAATGTTATGTTTATATTGGTCTTCTATATTATTTCTATGGGATTAAATGTAAAATATGTTTCATTCTTTAGCTTGACTTTGTTCAATAAAGACGTATTAAAAGTACTACTTAATTTTTTTAAAAAATAATTTTCCATAAAAAAAATTAAAACTCCTGTGTTGATTTTATTACAATAGTACTGGTATATGGTCTATGAATAGTACTCCACTCACCTTCAAAATCGCAAGGGTGTCTTTATCACTAAGTTGGTTGAATAAGGTTTTCATAACTTTTAAAGCGGTAACCCAAGGGTAATAATCAGTTTCGTGTGTAATATAGCTGACAAGTAGAAAAGCCTTACTATACTGAACTTTACCAACTCTAGCAACAGCGAAAATATCATCAATTAATTGAGCTCTGTTAATGACATTTATGTCGGTTCTTTGAGATCCTTTTAAAACATGAATTATTCGTGTCCACAGTTCATCGTCGTAATTAACCCTAAAATACCCTGTAAAAAAAAGAGTTCACATGAGTTAAAAACCAAAAATAATATTTTAAATATTATACCTATTTGTTGATTATTTAAAATTATCCATTCTGAATTCAGATTTATATTTAAAACATTATTACTTCTTAGCCATTGTATTTCATTAAGAGGCAAATCCTTTTTGGCTGATGACGTATATGTTATAGGTATATTCCAATAGGTGTTCTGCATATTTTCGTCATTTATTAAGCTGAACGGTTCCTAAAACAAATATAGATCCAAATAGTTCTAGAACTGTGCTATTCTATTTTATATGTCCTGCAAGCTATAAGCACAGCTTATACAATACAGCTCCACAACTCCGTGTCGGCTTCTTTGATCTGACGGTCGAGAACCAAGCAAGACGGAATGGTGCTATCTCTGTTAGATTCGAGGGAAAAGTCGGGCCCGGATTAAACAATTTTTTATTATTGAAAAAATTGAAAACCTTGGTGTAATAAGGTTGGTTACATGCCTTATTAAGTAAGTTTTGGGAAATTAAATTTTTAATTTGTTTTAAATCTGTCAAATATAATTAAAAAAATTATTTAAATATAAATATTACGAAAAATAGCACATCTTTTAGAGGTAAAATAATTTGTATGTGGCTAGTAAAATCCGCGTTAACAAATGTTTTGAGCTAAAACAGTCACTTCACGACAAATTGTGACTTGGATCCTTTTTACACCAAGGGCTTCAATTGTTAAAGAATTTTGTCACGCTCGTGGATGCAAATCAAGTGGTAACCCGTGTGTCTGACAAGTGTTACTCTTCGTGCAAAGGGTTTATACCTAGATAAACGAATGCTTCGACTAAGGTCTGGGAACTCTATGGTATTTTGGAATTATAAAGAATTCGTGCTTTTATTTTAACAATATTGGTTATATTTAGATGTATTCTTATTAATTGAAATACAGATTTGTGGAAGTAATACTTTGACAGTTTTTATTAATATAATATATTCAATTTTTATCTGACCATACCGAAGTAGGGTATTTTGAAACTTTATAGTAATGTGAAATTTGAATTACAATATTACACGATATTACATAATTTGTACTTATTTTAGGTAGGTACTAAATTTGTACTTGGAGAAAGTAATATCGATTTTTATAAGAAAACTTGAAAAGTAAATTAATTTAGTTCCTATTTCTGATGTAAAACTTAAGTTTTGGTTTAAACCAAGAAAACAAATAAATTATAGTTTGTTCAACAAGGGTGGATATGATAGCAATATCACACAAAGACGAAGTTTGAGCACGACGTCGTATGCGGAGTACTCAATCGTCTGATTGTGATATGAACAATCCACTCGATATGGTCAGTATATTTTTTCTACGACCCACTAACAAAAATCTACAAATTTAAAAAATTATTTTAGGTTATTTAGACAAAATAACTAATTTTAAAATAATTTACGAAGTTGACTAATTTATAAAATAAAATTAACATGAAAAATTAATTAGTCCTCGGCCTAGATTCGATCCCGGGCTTTTCGCGTGGAAGGCAGATGCTCTGTCCTCATCTTCACCGAAACTTTCAGGACTTTAGTTTTAATACTCGTAATTAAATTAGTATCATGTAGTTTGATTAAAATTTATTTTTTTTTAAATGTGGACACAATAAAAACAAAAATGCTATTATTTATCGAGTCTACACAAAAATTTTAATGTATATTTAATATCAATAACTAAAATATATATTGACAATTAGTTTAACAGAATTGTCACTTATTTAAAAAAAATTAAATAGTAGGAGTTGGGTGACCAAAATATGAACTGTGATTTGTAGATTTAATTTTGTTAAAGTGTTCTCACTACCTAAAATGGATATGAAATATATTCGTAGTTGAACGCAATAACATACTTTTTCGTTTTGTAGTATGTGCATAGATTGGCTAATATCCATGCACAGATTACAAAACGAAAAAGTACGCTATTGCCTTCAATTGAACGAATATATTTCATATCCATTCTAGGTAGTGAGAACACTGCAAAAAAAATAAATTCGCCAATCACCGTTCATATTTTGATCAACCGACTGCTATTATTTTTAAAATTTTAAATAAATGACAATTCTGTCAAACTAATTGTCAGTATATTTTTTAGTTATTGAGATTAAACATACAATAAAATAAGTTATTCTTTTGGAAAACGTTAGCATGGATGACTAAAGGGTATTGGGTTAATTAATTCTAAAAGTGTGGTACAAATGTTATTTTTTGTAGTCAATTCTTCAAAATTATTTTGAAATATCTTTTCAATATTGAATATTAGTTCTACAAATTCATCATTTGACAGTTGCAGATTTCCAAATGTATCTGGATTGGCGTTATCATATGCCTTTAAAAAGCAATAAAAAGAAAAATCATCTAATTCAACGTGATCTTTGTTATATTTAAGACAGGTATCGCAGAGGAGTGGATCCGCAAGGCTTTTATTAAAAGGTAACCACACACATACCTGATAAAATTTTTCTGTATCAATTCGTCTTTACAATAATTTAGGGTGTTAATAATTTTATCATAAAATAAAATACAAGGTGTTCCATTTAAAAAACATACATTTTAATTTGCCAGGCAAAAACGTGACACCCTGTATATCCAAAGATATTTTTAAAATATGTAGGTATTTTTCAAATCCATATAACTTTTATTTAAAACTTTCTTGCGTGTCTACAACAAAATAATGAACAATAACGCACTAATGGGATACCCTGTATAAATTATATTTTTAACAATGAAAATTTCTTATAATGTGGTACTTATCGGTTTAGGTCCTTGGGAAAACTAAAGAATGTTTTCTTGCAGGTATAACCCTTATTAAAACAGCTTTTGACTGCACAAACAGAATGATGTCTTTTTTTTTCACTCTTTCTATTCATAGCTAAAGAGTCACCAAAATAATAACAGTACCTTTAACTCAAACAAAATCAACGAAATTATAGGCTCCACGAAATTATACAATCAACGAAATTATAGGCTCCACGAAATTATACAATCAACGAAATTATACGCACGACTCAACACCTTACCTAAGTACGCTTCTGAACACCAAAACCGTCTTTTCCCTTCGAAGGCGGAGCTTAAGCGATGCGCGACGAAATCGACGCAAACCGTTGCCGCCAAGAGAGTGTTTTAGCTGTATTGTTAAGCTGTGCTATAAGTATTATCACGTGACAAATTTATGACCAATAGAAAAAATATTCTCAGAAGATTAGTTGCTAAGCTGTTAATTGTTGCAATATTATTAGCTACAGAACACTCTTGTTTTCAATATTATAGCGATATTGTTATACAATCTTTAAACACGTTCTTTATCGTTTGTAAAGTGTTATTTCCACATATGTACTTCGATTTTCTCTTACTATACGAAGAATGGTCGCACTGCGCAGCTTTCTGAGTGCTTTTTAAAAGGAGATAGGAAATTCCGCCATTTTGAACACTTATTACGTGTTGCCTACATCTCGGCGCAATAGTTTTAGTCGCTATGTTATAATATTTACCCAAAGTCAGTCCCCAAAGATATTATTTACGCACCTACACTTTACAAAACCATCAACAAATAATGAATATCTTGAAAACCTTGCTTTACTTGGTGATTTTATGTTAAATCTTTCCATTTGTAAGTAACAGTAAGTACTTTAATTATGGTCCTACTGTTGTATTCTAAATGCTTTTTATTTTTCAGTTCTCCTAGGAATTTCGAGCACTTAACTTGAACAGTGTTTACAAACCATTAATCAAATTGTTTAGAAATTATTTTTAGCTAAACTCTGTTATATCTGTTCTCAGCATTTTGAGGAAAATGCTTATTGCTCTCATGTAAAAAGGTATGTGATCAATCATGAAACAATTCTTTGTAGAAGGCAAATACCAAGAAAATTGAAGCATTTACTTCAATATTATTAAAATCAAACGAAATAATATAAATAAACATGTAAGTAATATTCTATTTACTTTTTGGAACATTTATATTATAATAATTGTTTTTATTTATTTCAGGTTTACTACCTGTGGCTCATCTACACACCTGAAAGTGCAGGTAGCCCACAGCCTCACTAAGAAAATAGCCCCCTCTGCTAAATAGTTTATCTGGAACAGTTAGAAAATGACCTGTAATATTTAATTTTTTATTTAGTACAGTAAACTGTGTAACAATTTATTCGGACAAATGGAAGTTTCAAAAGTACCACTGATCCAGGTACATCGATTTTGTTCGTTAGACATACACAAGAATCATAAAAGTAACAAAAACGTCTTTTAGAGCTACCATATGTCAATATCCTTTTTAAAATATTAAGTCGACGGACTAAGAAAAGCATAGCTAGACCATCGATTGCTATAGAAGCAGAAAGTAGGGAAATATGCAAGAGTTTTGAAAATGTACACTGGCAATCTAATGTTAATACATTTAACAAACTTGTGTAATCTTTGAAAACGAGAATATTGGTGGTGGCAGTAATACCCATATGGGTATTTTCTGGGATAGAAAATATTCAGCAATTTCTTACTGTGTAACAACTGAAAGAAGACTCATTTGTAGATGAACAATACATCTGTTTTAGTTAAAAATTTAATGACTACATATAACTAATTTTAAAAAAACCTGTTATACAAATTTAACGTGTCTGTCTCAGATAAATTATAAGATAAAAACCAACTATCTGTTGCAGGTTGCCTGCAAAAGTATATTCCTCTGGTAATATCTTTTAGTTAGAGCTTCTTTAATCTCATATTTCGTTGTTTTTATTTTATAGTTTCATACCATATTTACAGCTGAAAAAATGCAAAATATAATATTAGATTGTTTAGCTTCAAAGATTTTTATTACATTACAAAAATAAAATGTTTGTTCATGGGCATTGGACTGACGAAAAATATCATAATATTAAAGTAAAATTATATGCACAGCTTTAGAAATAATTTAAAACCACTTACTTCTTTTTCAAGATGCACGTGCAATTATAACTTCAAAGAAGTGTCTTGTATATTATTTAAAATAAACGTTTCTCCTACATTTGTTGCCTTCATTTATAATCTCAAAACACTAAGATGTGTTGCCTAACCTAGTAGTAATCAAAATGGCCACGCCCTGTGTTGAGCGTGTCGGACGTCTCTCTTGCACCATACAGTAATCAAAGTATGTGGTTATTTCAAATTGTAATTTAAAAGAAGCTAAATTGATAATCTGACATTATGGAGACCCAGGTGACCACCAGTG